CTTTCTTTTGATTCATTTATTATAATTGACTTATATGGTTTAGTAGTTTTCTTTTATTCAGAAAGTAATTACAGTTTCCTATTTCTGTCCAACTCCAAACAGAACATAAGAAAAGAAACTACTTACAGTTTTTATAACAATTGTTACCTATAGGCAAATTCGAAGTGTCACCATATATATTGGTCAAAGCAGAAGTAATTATGAGGATATCAGGAAAGGATTAATTGAATGCGGTCCTATAAATCCATTGGAGACAAGCTGGAATGCAGATAAAGAGAAAGATCAAATGCTTCTGAATCTAGTCAATGTTGTAGATAGAAAGAGAAACTGGATTCGATAAATCTCCTGAGATAACATTGTTGGGGGGACTTTCATTTCGCATGAAAGTACATGAAGAAGAGATTCCTAGGTCGATCTCACCAGAAGAGCCGGATAGTCTCCTTGCCTTAGCGTTAACTTGAGACTTTTACTAGAATGAGTTCCAGCTCTGACGATGTCCATCATGTGATAGAAGAAAGCTCAGTTCGTTTTCACCCAAAACGAGTGAGGTCTCGTGGACTGCGCCAACCTGGATGTCGTATGAAAGCCAAGCAGCTGCAGTATACCGGGATTCAGCCGTCCTCTTCTGATGAGATCGATCTATGAATCTCCTCTTCATGCACTTTCATACGAAATGAAAGTCCCCTCAGCAAATAGTCAATGCTGTCTCAGGTTGACATTGAATAAATACTGGTAAGCAGAATGTAGCAAATTACATTACTTTTCTTCATTAACCGGACCGCTTTTGTGGTTATATTGGATATCAAAAACAGCGGAAAGTTTATCATGAAACTTATGGATTCACATTGAAACATTAGGCGTATTCAATCGCAGAATAAAAAATGGTTAAACATGGTTGAATGAACTGGAACTGATATCGAATTGGCCATAATTATGATAAGAGACCTTAGCTGATAGAAGTATGATTTTAATCTCATCTGAAACAGAAATTTAATGAAAAATTGACGCAAGAGCCTCCATAAAAGCACCAGAAAAAATAACAAAGTCTGTAGACATCGTCACAAACAAAATAATTAAACTGTTTTGATTCAAATGAAGTAACTACTTCGCTAATCAACCCTGCTCATCTCATGAATCAGGGAGATAATCTGACACATAAAGCTAAAGGCTCAGGCGACATAATTGTTGTGTAACAGGTCGGTGCAAATTGATAAATCGTTTTTAAGACCACCATAAATAGCGATGCAATCTCTCACCTTGTTTACCAAATGCACATGCCGCTTCCCAGCGTTCCAGCTGTCCCTCAGGCAACCATGCCAGCGATCCACCAGCCCGTCTTGAACATGAAAGAACTGGTTGGCGCGTCAAATTCGTTGGCCACCAATCCGTTTTCAAGGCTACTTCAGATAGCTCCTCTTCATCATCAACATCATCATAAGTATAATCGTCTTGCTGTGAATACTCCTTTGGATCCCTCTCTTGAATTTTCCCCCCACCCTTGGCATCAGGATCTGATCCAATTAGCTTCCTCTTCTCTTGCACTGAGTCCGGACCATCTCGTAACCCATGCTCAATCACCGGTATACTGTTGTGGTTTCGACGTCGAGATCGGGCTAGGCATCCAGTGAGCTGAACTGTGGCGCCACGATAGTACTGAAGTGCTGGAGCGACCAGGCGGGCTCCAGGCGTCTCCGGCGGGTCACACATTTCCACTGGAGATTTGATCGGATGGAGGAAAATGCAGTATTGAACATATAGAAATATGCCAAGTGAAGTGAATAAATGAGATTCATTTAAAAACCCTAGAGTTCCTAAGACTACCAAGGACAATTCAAACATGTGCTAGTACCAAGCCCTAATGCTTATGGAATTTATTTTGGCAACCGAATTGAATCAGAATACCCAATCACAATGAGTGAGAACTACCTTATGAAGTTTCTGATGTTGTAGATACGACAAGTAACTGGGTTTCGATGAAGCTCTTAGTATGGCTTTGTGGGAGAGACGTTTATTTCGTATGAAAGTGCATGATGAATAAATTCATTGGTTTATCTTATCTGAAGACGATGGACAATACTCGATGTTCTGCAGCTTTTTGGCTTAAAT